TAGAGAGGGGGGTCATTGTTGGACTGCTCAATTTCATTTTTATATCATTCACATAAATGTGAACAGAAGAGGGCTTAGTCCATCGCCCTGTCTGATGCCTCTTTTTACCGGGAATTCACTGGTGAGGCCATTTTTGGTTTTGACACAACTTAGAGATTCTGAATACATTGACCTGATGATAGTATAGAATTTTCCTGTGTTATCGTGTATGTGTTGTGATATTCTCGGTAGTGAACATCTGGATATGTTTATTACATGACATCCACGACCAGTTAAAATAGCAATCGAAAACTCTAAAAAATGTTTATTGGGCTAATTATACATAAGTAGCATATATAAATTTGGTTACTCGGGATTGTCTAATAGTTGACCTTGTGTTGTTTTCTCGATTTTAGGTATTTTGTACTAGACATTAACATTAACAACAGCTAATGCCGCCATATTTCAAGTTACATTGTTATATTTTGCTACATGAGTATTATATATGAACTATTTTAGTTTATGAAGTTTCTCGATTTTGAGCCTTTAAAGGTTTTGTTTGCAGTGTTGAACTCGCGGACTACCATAATATTCAAGTTGCGATTATATGTTGCTAAGTGGATGTATCGCTTTATCGCTGCTCGCTCTACACTGAGACTAAAACATTATTGAGATATTCAACACTGAAATACTCGAATTCAAGGTTCTTTCCAGTTGATCTTATTCATTCTTTTTAAAAATAGGAAACATCGTTTTAGTTAAAGCGCGGTGGTCGTCGCGCAGCGCGTGTTCGAATTTCATGTAAATAAACAACGTATTTTCCACGCGTTGTGTACGTCGCTATAAGTCCCATGTCGAACAGGACGCGGCACGACGAAACACAACGAGACACTTACCTTTCATAATTAATATACCCCATCCTGCATTGTTATCGTACTTTAATCTCATCTAGATACTGGATTCTAAGAAAATTGAAAAACAAATATGTATGTTTTTCTATACGCTACTCATCTATGAATACAACTTAATATTCACCAGACGGCAGAGAACCATACATATCCGTTGCTAGGAATGACCATATCGCTTTAAGTAGTTGTGTTGGTTTTAATGATTCTCTGACCTTAGTATCAATAATAAGTTTGCATGCATTGCATTGCATTGGGTGTGTAAACTCATTTCCAATTGTATTGGAGAATTACCTAGGCGAGTTGGTCCATCAGTTATGCATTGACTACATGGATGATGTGATTATGTAAGACATAATGTAAGACATGCAATGTCCATATGAAACACCTGACTGGAGTATTGAGACGACTGTGAAGTACAGAGCCAAGAAGTCTGAGTTTGCTTTGCCAGGAGGTTCATTTACTGGGCCATATCGTGCACACAGAAATGATGAAGACTACAGCACTGCATGATTTGCCCAGTCATCATAATATGAAGGAGGTGATTACATTTGCGGGGATGGCAAGCTATTATCTCTGTTATGTGCAAGGATTCACGAAAATTGCTAAGCCACCGAGTGATCTTACTGTGGGATTGTATCAACATACTCATACCAACAAAGAAAGCATCAAAATATTCCTGAATTTTCATGGACACAAAAGTATTTCCTACTGATAACCAGACTGCTAAAGTAACCGCGGATACATTGATGGAGCATTTTGTGTTACACTTTGCTTTCCCAGAGCGCCTGTATTCTGATCAGGTTTAAACTTTAAGAGTAGTGTGATTCGGCACCTGTGTGATGCCAATGGAGTTGTGGCACCCCACATAGCAATTTTATCAAACGTCACTTGGTATGAACTGGAAACAACATGTTATTGCAGTGACTCATATAACTGCACAAAGCACGATGTGGTTGGTAACACCACGTATTTCCTTATGCATGGACACCGTCATTGTTTGCCTTTTGACATATACTTGCGCTTGGTCACTGAGGAGGAACACGCAGAAGACATGGATGAGTATATTAGAAATTGGATAAATAAGGTCTTATCAGCAAGTCGTATTATGATTCCTATCATGCATGGCAAACACAAGCTTGCTGACCAGTGGATAAAGGATCCATATGTCAATGTTAGACCTGAAAATCGTGGTTATTAGTTTATGAGATGAAACTTTAGAAAGGTGGCAAAGTGGCGGAACTTGCATCATAACATGTTGTTTCTTTTTCATACACTACTGGTGTATAAAATCGCCCAATTAGACGAGAACTGGTCAAACCTGTCAGAAGATTGAGGAAATGGAGAACCAAGTGTTGCATCAAACCACACGAAGAGCAATTAACTCATGATGCCACTGCTGGTTATCAGTAGGGAGGATCCAGAACAGCACTCCTCTTCTGAAGTTGGGAGTTGAGCACCCTCTGTAAATGTACTTTTTAAGGTGACCTTTGTAGTTGCCCCTGTTAGGTCGCTGCCATCCAAGATTTGTTTTCTTGTACTATGTTCTATAAGTCATACCTGATTTGGTTTCGTGTCTGCTGTGCATAGAGGATTGAGCTGTTCTATCCATTAGTATGGCGCCAGACATAAATATTTCAGACTTCGGGTGTTATGGTCAATTGACAGTTGTCTGAGTTTAGTGTCATGTGAACATAGGCGTCTGTTAGTATTGTCGAAAAGTTAGCGCATTCGTCTGCTGTGTTGAGACGCTACGCTTTGTCTGCAAGTTCAGACAGTGTGTTGCTTACTGTTATGCGAATGAACCTTTAATAAACACTTTTCTAGTTTCACTGTTACCTTAAAATCTTGCACGCCCTGGTGTAAAAACGTCCTAATTTCGACTGTGTTGCCCTATTGCCCTTACATTAAGCAAGATAGAAATCAACTCATTAAATCAATTCCCGTACGAAAAATGAACTAATTGCGCTATAACTCGAAATTTGAATATCATTAGGGTATGTTGCTATTTTATTCATTTATTATTTGAATATTCGACAATAAAAATTGTTTCGGTTTTTGTGTGATTAATGTGTGTGATGTCATCGGAGAAGTGTACTCCACTAAATTGACGAGCTATTGTGTTCTTATTCGTCCTATCATTCAAATTGTGGCATTTTTTTTAAATATACTGCAAAAAAGACAGAGGGCGAGAAAGTTGGGTTCAGATGTATACAGACATAGTAGTATGTGACTCCAACGTGTAGGTAATGTCATTTTAAATTATAATTTGTTTACATCCTGCTATATATAATTCAGCGTCGATAATATACAACCCTAACACACAGACACAATCTGAAGTACAGACCACGAGTGTGAACAATACCTGACAGAGCAGTAGCTCTGATGATACTGCTTTAGTTTGATAGATGATAACAGTTGACAAATCTATAAATAGCACTAGCATAAAAACATTGTACTTTAGAAATACGCAGAATTCTCATTGTGGTGAAAATATAAAAATAGAACCTGGATTAAAATACAACCAAACAATTGAGCCCCTTAACAGAATGACTGATCACCACAATGACGTCCACACAAAATAGATGGTTTATGCACTGACCACACAAATTGCAACCAATTTGTCTATTTACTAAACGGCTTCATTGGTATTGTCATAAATGTTGCTGGGTTATATTAGTATCCCCGTTGTGGGTGAAAATTGCATTATAACTAGACATTATACGACACTCGTTTGATATATAATATGTTTAAAAATAATTTCTACAAATGAACATGTCAATTATCAATAGAAAAACTATTAAGATGCCATATTCATAGTGAAATGCATTAGAATTAGATTGAATAATTAGTGCAGCTTAGATGGGATATGTGTTAACTTAACATTTTCGATTTTGCATGACGTAGTACACCAAATTACCATATATAGAGTTCGTTTACACGGGCATTAATGCATATAGTCACTTTTCTAAATATAAATCACATAGACGAGGTGTGAATCGCCAATTATTATTGGTTGCATATACAGATTTGTTATCTTTTTGTGATAAAATATTTTATTAATGAAAGCTCTATGTACAGTGTATGTGGTGCGATATTTAATATTTTTGTCGATTTCATTTATTTATCTCTGTACTTCTACATTTCTCGTTAAATAATAGAATGTTATTTGCAGAGGTAAAAGTACGTCATAGAACGTTTGTCGTAAGACGCGCACCATTATACATGTATTTATATGGGATCTGCTCAAGCAGCTGTGAAATGTCAGTGATTGTTGTTTTCAACGTTTGGGGTTGTGCAGTGAAAATGCCCGGATGTTCGCCCCCGTGATTATTTATATATTTTAAAATATGCATGCATTATACCGAATATATATGCGCGTACGATGGGAGTAAGAGCTGTATTTTATTTATCTATGAATGCCATTCGTCAATATATGGTGCATTACGGACTTCAAAATGTTTGACATTTTTTTGAAACTACAAGCTACCACTGGAGAAAATGGTGGCATTCAAAATGGAGAAAACATTCCAGTCCACCTGAAGCACAGCTACTGGACTGCATTGTTGGGAATTACAATGGGATTACTGTCAGGTGTAAGTCTTGCTATCTCTGATGTATTTGTTATGTTGTGTATCAAGATTGGATATTCACCATCACAGGTTTTACTTGTCAAATCATTGATGATTGTGGCAATAACTATACCATTGCTCATCTACAAGGGAATTAATATTCTGAAACTCAAAAAGAAGGACGCTATTTTGAACATTGTGAAAGGCTTTAGTGAGAATGGAGCATGCCTAGTTTACTATTATGCCATGGATGGGATTGGAATGGGAGATACAGCCGCAATAACAGTAGGAACATTACCAATATTTGCACCTATGTTTGCGTGCATATTCATAAAAGAGAAGTGCAAACTCCACGACTGCGTTAGTGTTGTCATCAATGTTGCTGGGATTATATTAGTATCACGACCTCAATTCATATTTGGTAATAACACACATTCATCTACA